GGGCCAACGCACCTCTCGCTGCTGCTGTCTTGGCTCTCTTGTCCGACTTGGACGGGCGTCCAACTGCACCACCAGTTGGCTGTCTCCTGCCCTTCGGCTTCGCCATCGGCCGATAGCTGAGAGGCCCCTCTTTGAGCGTGCAGTACTCGACAACGGCTGCGTTGTGTCCACCGCTGGTCTGATGTGCGCGTGCGCGAAATCATAGGGTTTCCAAAACGTTCTACGTGCATGGCTAAATCGCATCCACTCTGTTTTTTTTTTTCAGGCCAACACAAAAAAGCAGTGAAAAAGTACCCTATATTCGCCGGCAACTGCTGTACCTTATGGTTGTCTGATGAGAGCAAGACCCGGCTCATTTGAAAGGTGTGGTTTCCGTCTTTCATTTGATGTGTGGTAGGTCTGCTAACCATGCGGTAGATTGCGTATAAAGCCTATGGGCAGTAGTGCTTGTTTCCAGCTGTCCAGAATATTTTTTGACTCTGCTTGAGAGAAAAAATTACTGTCGCAAAAATAAGCAAAAATTTGCTCCCACTAGACTAATTATGTGTGACCGTAATAGGATAAAAGGAGATCATCAGTTTCCATTTGCTCTGCACGCAGGTAGACTCTTGCGACGACGAGGATGCACCGCGGTGCGGGTCGGATTGCTTTCGGTGGCCGAGACCCAGAGGTAATTACCTCCAGCCCTCTTGGCGTTACCCGCGCTGTGGACAAAGAAGGTGCACACGAAGCATGACCTTCGGACGCATACGTACGTCCGACGCGCACCTGAAACCCCAACCCTAACCCTCACCTCTGCCTGCAAATAAACTCGGCAAACATTGATATTTGTTGCCATTTTTTTTTTTTTTCATAATATGACACAAAGAGCTTTTTTGTCTGCTTGAACATTTTTTTTACTTTCCTGGTGGTCACGTTTCTGCAGACTGCGACGGGCATCATATCGCCACGACAGACTCCGAGTCAGGCTAATGTAGTGCCCGAGACCTGAATCGGTTTGCGAATTGCACCGAGTGCCGCATGGACAACGTCGCTTAGTCCAACCTCTGCTGGAAAACTGCGTAGTAAATGCGGGGGTCCGCCTAACCCTTCCAAGCTGCACCCTCGAAGGCTGGGCCCGTGTCCGTCATCAACCACGATCGTCTGGAAGCCCGTCGCCGGCAAATGCCAGACAGAGGCTTCCAGAGTTGGGGGGGGGGCTGAGATATGTACCGCGACCTTCAATGCTTTCGTCCGCTCGTCCTCGAACGGGCTCAAAGCTTTGGAATCGGCCGACCCCTATTTTATTCATTGGCTGAGTTTCCTGCACTCGCAAGGCAGCGGGCGATGGTGGTGTGCCTGAGCGGTCGCGCCCAGGCGTTGGCTAGACGGGGGGGGCAGAGTGTGCCTCCCGGCGTCCCCGTGTGCGATACGGGTTGTGGCCATGTCGTTTCGGAAGGGTTTCATTCCAAGTAAAGAAATATGGCGTACCGGGAACAGTTGGCGAAACAAGAAGGGGATGCATTGGAGCCCCACTGTTCAGTCAGTCTGGGAACCTTGCGACTCATCATCCCCTCTACGCGAGTCGAGTATTTCTTTGACGTTCGCGTCCGAAGAGGCGGAGTTCTGGTCAAGCAGGCCGAACCTCTCTTAGCCCACACTCTCAATTTAACTAACTGTGTGAGCTGCAGTAGTACCCCATACCGGGGATACCACCCACTACGCTGTTCGCTCTGTTTTTTTTCTGATACCATGCGCCGTGGTTCGATTTATTTACCTTTTAATTTAAGATCACGTTTAGTATATTTTTTTGCAGTTACCGGATGATAAGGGTCGATAAATTTTTTCACTCATCTTTGGCAAGACACTGCCGACTTCAAGTCTTCCGTGGTACTCTAACAACAAGGCGAAATACGCTTAGGTTGGGATTTTCTGTACCGGCAGCCGACGGCAGCCGGGGATCTTTGCCAATACTCCCCCCCTCGCATGACGACCGTGGTTTGACAATTCAAATCACGATGCGCTGGAAAACGGAGTCGCTAGCGAGGGATTTCATGATTCAGACGAACCAACGCGCCCGCAAAAGCAGGCGGCGGCAACTTCACCGTGTATACGAGAGCGCGGATCGATTGCCGTCAAGGATGGAAGAGTTTGGCGCATGTTCTAAATTTAGGCGGTACATTCACGTAAAGTTTGGTTCTTTCCGGGCGTCGATACAAGACAAGGAGAGCGGCAGAAAATGCCTAAAGAAGTTTGGGTATACAGTAATATCTTGTCTATTTTCCTTGGCAGGAGGTCTCACCCAAGAATCCAGCGCTTTCCATGAGTGGTCGAAAACGAAGGATAGCATACATCACTAAACAACATGCCGTGGACTGTTGTTGTATAGACACGTCGTTGGTACCATGTCCCTTCTTCCGTCCCCGGCTCTAGAGATTGTAACTCGACAAAATCGAAACACACGAAGGTCAAATTGTAGTAGATGACAATGCTCAACATGACTTACTTGTTGTAGATGCAACGCCCACGCTCACACTCAGACAACACACCACCAACACGACTACCCAACACCACCAACACGACTACCCAACACCACCAACACGACTACCCAACACCACCAACACGACTACCCAATACCATCACTACGACGATCACCAACAATAATCGGCACCTCAAGTTGTCGTGGAACAATGGAAAAGTTAAATCGGA